ACCCTTGATATTGTACATGTAATTTTGTTTTGTGCTGGTAACCAACTTGTATATAAATTGAATTTCCTCTTCAAGGATTCCGTCTCCCCCAAAAAAGTTAAAAGTCAGCAACTACAAATACTATAGCAGATGACTTTTAATACAAGGATACATACCTGTCCAGGAATCCAGCTCTGTTCTCACACAAGCCAGTTCTTCACCGGTCTTTGGTCCATGCGCAAGTCCTGCTATGCTTTATGAATGGTTCTGCAATCTTCTGGGACCTGTAATGTGTCCCAGAAGGCTGCGGGGAAGGGGGTGGAGGCAGGGGCGGACTGACCATTTGGAAACTTGGGCACTGCCCGAGGGCCCGGGGTCAGTAGGGGGCCCCATGAGATGCCCCTGGTACCTTTTTCATAGGCTTTTTTGAGTTTGGGCAAGGACACAGGGGCCCCATAATCCCCTATTGCCCGGGAGCCCCGTGAGTTGTCAGTCCGCCCCTGGGTGGAGGGCTTGAACTTTTTCTCAGATTGCCTAGGTGATAAGTAGGAACGCATACCATTAAAACCAGGTACCCGTCCCCCCTCCCTCCCAAACAATTAGGTGCCAGATGTTAAAGAAGAGGGCAGACAAGTGGAACTTCCCCTTTTGGGTTTTCGGATATGTCACACTTGACCCTTTTTAATCTCACCTTCTACTTTTCTGTTACTTTGACTGCTGAGAATCTAAAATCAATGAATTAACTGAACAAGAAAAAATGTAATACTTTGCATACAATTAAGTAATGCACTGCTTTATGTTGAATGTATAATAGTTATTTGTAACACTTACAGATATCCGTAAACAAAATTTACAAAAATCAAGAAAACTCACATAACATTTGGTTATCATATTTTTTTTAGGATGGTCATCCATGGGCCAATTAAGGATCATATCATGCAGAATTTTTTTTCAGTGATACGTAGTGCTTCTGACCAACATGTAACATCTCTGTTCAATATTGACAATCATTTTTCACATTCAAAAACTGATACTAGCCCTCTTCCGCTAATCAACCTTATCATAAGGAACTGCAAATAGTCTTTTTGAAAGCCTCATTTAGTTTAAAGCAATGTTGTTGCTAAAGTGAAAACTAATCAAATAAAATGTACCCAAAAAAAAATCTGGTGTATACTTACATTATCTGTTGCCCATGCCACCAAACACCACTCCTTTGAAAATAAATTGTCCTTCGTTTTTCTGCAGCGGAGCAGTATTCTTGGCATGGGCAGTGGGATAGGTAAGCTTTCAATAGGTTTTTTCACAGATGCAACTGTTTTTGCAGCATATTCATTTTAAAGTACACCTGTCATGAGAGAACTATATGGGCTGCTACTGCTGACCTCTACGTCCGAAAAATGCTAGTTCCATGGCTGTAATGTTGATGCTTTATCTAAGTCAATGACCTGGAAAAAGTATAAAAAAAAAAGGAATTTGGACTTTTTCTTGACTTCATTTGCTGAATGCTTGTTCTGGGTCTGTGACTCTGAAGTATTGAAGCTAGACACAAAACTGTCATTTCTGGAAGAAGGCAAGCTCTGACAGAAGCCACATGAACAATCTCTCATGGCAGGATTGCATTAAAATACCTAAATTACCTTCCCTTCCCTTATAATAAAATGGAGTATGATGGCCAATTAATGTATGGTGGATCAGTGGTTAATGTTGCAGACTGACAAAATGGAACTCAGGGTTCAAGGACTCATTGAAGATTGTATATTCTCCCTGTGTTATAAGAGCTTTATCTAGTTACTGCAGTTTCAGTTTTAAAACCAAAATCATAATGAAAAAATATAAAAGCAGCTTTGCCAGTGTTCTGGGCTGCTGTAAACTGATGAAATGGCAACTATGGTCCAGGATCTGCATTCATATTTAATGTAGGTTTTGGAAAGGGGTTCTCCCTGTACTAACTGGTCGTGTTGGTAATTATCAGTCTCCTACACTATATCAATTTGGAGTAGGATTTTTGGGCATAACTGAGGCTACATGTCTATAAATAAGAAGATATGAATAGATATATAGATCTTGAAGTCTGGCCTCAAATATTTTAAAGATAACTCCATCCAACACTGAAAATGTAGTATTGTACATGCTGTCATGTGTTCATGTTTGGGTAAGAGTGAAATTCTCCTTGAATATTTGATCTGAACAGCTGAACAATGTTAGAACTGAACAGCCATAATGTTTGTGGTAAAATGCAATAGACTATTTCATAATGCTTTGAGCCTCTGAAGCAGCCAATCCATAGCAGGTAGACTTGGCCACAGGTAGCACTCACCCCCGGGGGCTACCACCAACCTCAGGATCCTTTTGCCTTGGAGCAGTGGCCTCATTTTGGGGAAGACCCCTCCAAGGACTTTTTGCTATCCTCTTTGATCCACACTACAAGTGCAAAATAGCCAATCACAACTCACCAGTTCAAAGAGAAGACAAAATGCGTCAAAAGGTGCTTCTAATAGCCTTTCCCAATGACAGCAGGGATGCCTAGGATACCCAAGCTGGACAAGCAGGCAACAACAGCAGAACCGCCATCAGTGCATGACATCTCAGAGTGGCATTAAAAACTTTTTTTCAGACAGCAGCAGTAAGGCCTGGCCCTATGTAGCCCACACAGGCATGGCCTGTCCAATATGGTCAACAAGTATGTCGGTTCCAGTTTGAACACCAACAACCTCAGAAGTAAAAAAGGACAACTTGGGCTACTAGGTATCTAAGATGGATCATTAGCAGGATCTTGCAAACCATATGCTAAGGGTGCAGGGCTGCCTTGCTAGAAGTGTCTTATCAGAAAGTGTGTTCAGCAGAGCTGGAGGGATGGTGATCAACAGACTCATCCACCTGTCCACAGGCAATGGTGACCACATGAACTTTATCAAAATGAACCTGGCTTGGATCTCTTTTGCCTTCCGCAGCCCCTGGCAACTTTCACTGATTAGGTGCAGCATGCTGATGTGTGTCTCTGTGTCTGTGATGGCGCATATACTTACAAAATTAAAGTGGTTGTAAAGGTTCAAGGTTTTTTACCTTCATGCATTGTATGCATGACGGTAAAAAAATATTCTGTGTGCAGCAACCTCACAGCCCCCGTAATACTTATCTGATCCCCATCACAATAATACATCAATGTGCATGAGAGCATTGGCTCTCCGGGGATTCTCCCTCCTCATTGGCTGAGACATTGGTCCCACTGCTGTCAATCACAGTCAGTGAGCCAATGAGGGAAAGAAGGGGGTGGGTCCAAGATGTGGCTCTGTGTGTGAATGGACACACAGAACTGCAGCTTTGGAGTGAGCTTGCTTGGACACCCCCAGAGCTTGCTCTGGGGGAAATGGGCAGGTGGGAGGAGTCAGGAGCACCAGCGGGGTCCTGAGAAGAGGAAGATCATGGCTGCTCTGTGCAAAACCACTGCACAGAGCAGGTAAATGTGACATGTTTGTTATTTTGAAAACAAAATTGCCTTTAATATCACTTGAAGAGCACAGGTTTTGCTAGGTTGTATTGGTACTACTTCTACTGTTTTTACTGCTACCTTTGTATTCCTCTCACTACAGCAAATCTGTAATAATTCTCATTTCTAAACTAATGGTGTTGCCTCCAATGCCAGAGCCAGATTAGCATTTCAAGCCTTCTTCCAATCTATCACCCTATCCTGCCCCCTCCCCTTCAAAGCAAAATCAATAATGAATCTCTAAAAATAGAGATAGATAAAGAAATAAAGAAAAAAATAATAAAAACAAAGCGTGACATTTTAAAACTCCAAAGTTTTACAATTTTGAACTGTTATTTCCTTTTTTAGGAAGACACCTTCAAGGGCTTTCTGCCTAACCTTTCAGGCTTGTCAGTGCTGTCATTCAAATATGGTACCATGGCTGATCTAACTGAAAAAACATTTCTATATATACCCAAGGGCTGACAATTGCCACATTACACTTTTTAACTAGCAAACCTAGAGGACTGAAGCTCTAAAATGTCTGGTTACCATGACAGATGCTTACTGATAAGTCCATTATTACTTTTACCTTGCTATACTTCTTATAACTACTAAGACAACAACCTTTTTTCCTGCTGACAATGTTGAAATAAGATTTTTGGGGGGGGAGCAGACCAATGCATGGCTAATGGTGTTTGCTAAGCTGACACCAGTTGGGGCTCATGCCACAAAAGAAAGAGAAAAAAAAGCTGTTTAATTTGACATGTCTTTAAAAAGTGTTTTTTTGGGGTGCTGCTGATGTTGTGTACAAAGGTATTTAGAAAAAGGTTGCAAAAAAGAGCAAAGTTTACATTGCCGATGTTCAATGTTGCTGTTGGAAGTCGCAGAAATGACCTTTAAGCTAGGTTTGCACAGTGCTATCCTCAGTGGATCGCTTTTCAGTGGTGTTTGACAGACATGAGGAGGCCTTCTCACTGCATGTTTTAACACTGTAAATGGCTTACCACCAGGTCACAACCACATGCATTACTGGCGGTTGTGGCGTGGAGGTATTCATGAATAAGTCACTTCTGGCACAGGTACTGATCACCAAATGCAACAGGTGGGCTAATTGTGTGCACACCCCCATCTGGCTGCCTCTGCAGGTTAAGAGGGAAACTGTATAAATGCATCTAAACCACTTGTTTTTACCACCCCCCTACCCAACCAAAAGTGTAAATGAGCCCTTAATGATTCTGTTACAACATGTACAGCATTAAAGGACCCCACCAAACTGTAAATTCAAGGATTTGTGATTTTCCCATGTTGTACAGAATTTTTTAATTTTTTTTTGTAATAGCAACATGTTCACCAGACATGTGGTTGGCCCCTTAAGCCAGGGCTTGAAATTTCCACTTCCCTGCTCGCCAATGGCGAGTGGAAATTATGGTGGGAGCGAGTGTGTCCCCCAGGGCCATCTTGCTGAGCAGGCTTGGAGCTTAGGCTGGATCTTTCATTGGCACTGGGAGCTGTCAGACTGCTCAATAGCTGAGCGCAGTGAAAGCAAAGCAAGGAGTGTGTGCTGTGCTCTCTGCCTCCCCCTGGAGTGCAGTACCCGGATCTGTGAGTGAACAACGAAGTACTGCAACTTTTTATGGGGGGAGGGGGGGGGGGGTGGTGTGTGTGTTTGTGTGTGTCTGTGTATGCATGTACAATTGTACATGTGTCTGTGTGTATGTACATGTATGTGTGTGTGTACATGTGTATGTGTGTGTTTGTGCATGTACATGTGTGTTTGTGTACATGTGTCTGTGTATGTATGTACGTGTGTATGTACATGCGTCTGTGCGTGTGTATTTCTGTGTATGTACATGTATCTGTGTGTATGCGTGTCTGTACGTGCCTGTGTGTGTATACATGTGTCTGTGTGTGTGTGTGTGTGTGTGTGTACATGTGTCTCTGTGCGTGTACATGTTTCTGTGTGTGTGTATATGTGTGTGTATGTACATGTCTGTGTGTGTACAGGTGTCTCTCTTTGTGTGTGTTTGTTGGTGGCGAGTAACTCTAAGGCCTGGCTAGTAGCTCAGGACTTGAAATTTTAAGCCCTGCATTAAGCCATTATATAGCATTTGGCTGCAGTAGTTTAAAAATGCTATTTTTTTTTCTAATTCACTTCAATGTGGTTTGGATTTGATATCTTCCAAATCCTGAACATTTTGACCCATAGGGCTGAGCTGGCCATGAATTGAACAAAGGCATAATCAAGCAGCATTACTAATTAATACAGTGAGGTGTTACGTGCTTCAACAGTTTTAGGGTCAAAATGTGTCAATTGAAATGACTGCTGTCGGCCACTTTGTATAAATCGTATAAATGCCTTGTAATCCATCTATTCATACTCTGTACATTGTAGACCTGTTTTACATGTCATAAAATCTTAATAAATACCATCGAAGAAAAAAGTCTGCTGTTGGCCTCTCTACTTTTGCCACTAAAAAGTATTGCAAGAATCACAATAAGATGTAATAGCTGTAAAGGACAAATTTTGCCAGCTTTACAGTCGGTGATCTCTGGGATTGGTATGTGCATTAATAACCTATTTTCAGTGTTGATGAGTTACTCTTTAACTTCAATTTTAAAGACTTACCAATCCAGCTAGCACACACTGTGTAAAAATAAAATCAGGTGGCCTTTTTGTAGACATCACATGGGTTTTCTACACAAACCATAATTCACAATTCAAATAAGACAAAAATTAAGAAACTATTTTGCAGTTCTTTTGTGAAATAAAGACATTTTAGCTGATAAATCCAGAGCTGTGTTCACTCGATCTCCTAATCCAAATGTCTGGCATGTCTGGTTTGCTGTTTTGGGAGAACAACCGGGTGATCATCATCTTGATTCGGCTGTATTTTCCATAACATGTTGGTCTGCTTGGAAGATGTAGGAGGATCAAAAACTGTTTCCCTTAAAGCCAGTCTTAGAGTTTCTCTTTTCCCATTTAAATTTCCCCTCTCATGATATGGAGAATCGGGAACATCAAGAAAATCTGGTGAGCATCTTGCTGACTCCAATTTAGTGCTCTGATCAATATCACTTAGACACGTTTCATTTGAGTCAAGAGCATCAAATGAGCTACCTATAGAACAGAGGCATCTAGAATATTCATACATATGGATGCTCCTTTCTGGAGAATATTGGATTGGACTGCCATCTTTAGGGCTTTGCAAGCTGTTGGATTGAGCCTCCGTGTTGTGTACATGCACATGGTCCACCACAGATCCATTCCATGGCTTACTGTTCATTCTCTGACAAATGCATTGTCTACAGGATTCTTCTGGCTTCTCATTTTCAGTTGCAAAATTTCTGTAGGGAGATGACGTCTGCAGAGCAGAGCAATGGCTAAAAACTTTGTGGCTGGTCGTGTTATCATGGATTGTTTGGGTTTCAGCTTGAATATGCTGTGCTCCTGTTCTAGCACACTTGTCTGATAACTGCATGTCCTCAGACAGAATAGAAGGACGTTTGGAAAGCCTACTAGTGGTGGTGCTGTTGTCAAAACTATCACTAAGGTGTCTGGCTAAAGGCTGGAGCTCATATTGTTCATTTTCTGTATTGGTTTCTGGAACTTTTCTTAGTCTGTTCTGTTTTTCATTCCCACTGCATGTAAAGGTGCCATTTGGCTTTGAGTTATCTGGGTATTCTTTTAATATGTTGGCACAAGGCCATAATATCTGTCCGCAGTTTTTCTCAGGGCCAAAAAAACAACATATAGACTGGAAAAAGAAGCTGGCAAAGCCACAGCTGATACATTTGATCATCATGATAAAAATACCAAGTTTTCTATATGCCAGCACAGTTGCCGGCAACATTATTACTCCTGCAGAAAACATAGTAGAGGCTCCCATTGCAGTGGCACAACTCATTTGTTTGAGGGAGAATGCCACACGGCTAAGACGGTCAGAATGCGGGCACAGATGATATGAAATGCAGTAATTTACCGTAAAGTCAACAGAGAGACCTACTGCAGCCGACACAAACAGAGATTCCACAACATTTAGCTGCCATTCCAAAAGAACCAAGAGACCAACTGTAACCAGAACTGAGCCTCCGATTGAGGCAACTGAAAATAAGCTGAGTAAGACATTCCAAGTGGTTAGCAGCAGAACTACAAAAGATATTGCAATGGAGAAGCCAGTTACCATCATGATCTCAGTACTTAGGGTATGCTGGAGGTTAAAAAGAGAAAGTTTGCTAGTAAACCAACCATTTTGAAGACCTGGTGGTGCATTCTTTATTTCATTGGTTAACCAATGGTTCAAAGTATTATAAAATGTCCTGGTCTTGCTGTAATTGAAGCTATAGTGATATGTAGTTTGAAATTCCAAGACCAAGGCAGTCAGGTTTCCATCGGCATTAAATCTGGGTCCAATGTCATAAGACTCAGGTCCATCTCCTCCTTGTTCTCTAACCATCATTTTTATGCAGTGCAGAAGCAAATCACTTGCATAAGGAAATGAAAACTGATTACAGCATAGATTGTGGTTTTGGTCACTCTGTGAACATTGACGACTTTCCATCCAGCGGTGAAAATCTTCCATGAAGCAAATGTTTGGCTTTTTCTCCTGATCAGAGTAATAAAAACTTTGGTTTCTCACTTTGTTACAAAGTTCAAGAAGCCATCGCTGGTCATCAACATTGCGGATAGTAAAAGTAGCATCTGTTACAAGTGTTCCATTTACTTTTGGATTGAGGTGGTCTCCGTTGTCCACAGGCTTAATGCCCCATATAAGTCTGATTGGCATATGTTGTCCTTCTCCATATTCCTGATGTTCAAACATGAACTGGTGGCAGTATTCAGCATCATATCTTTCAAAGGGGTGACTCAACCGGAACAACTGAACTGAGGAAAGATCTGAAGATGGCAGTCTTAGTTTGGGGCTTATACAGGCAATATAAACACCACCTGCTGCTAGAGCAGCAAACCAACAGATCCAGATGTAACGAAACTTTATCACCCCACAAGGTAAGAGCTTCTCAAAGAGAAGCTTTGATGTTTCTGACAAAGTACTTTGTAAACCACTTAACTTTTGGTAAAGAGACAGAAATAACTTTTTATGGCCATTGCTGTTCCAGTAATCTTCTGATTTATAGGTACAGTTGACCTTAATATACCTCTCATATAGTACCATGGTAGCAGGCAGCCAGGTTATCATAAATGCCATGTTTACTAATACTGAGGTTCCCATGTATATAGAAAAGCATCGAACAGACGTAATGCTGCTCAAGTAGCTGCCATAGAAAGCAGTTCCAGTAGTCAAAGAAGATACTACCATAAGATAACCAAAATGATGCATAGTTTGTTTCACCCACTGCAGCATGCCAGCTGCAGTGTGTGTTGTATTTTGCTGAGGTTCCATAGGTCAAAGAACACAAAGGTATGGTTGGCACAGATACTGCTGAGGATGATAACCGCTATCAAGTTAACAAAAGGAAAGAAGGTTATTCTAAATACCAGCTTGTACAAAAAGAATGAAATCATCAGTGAACCAATAACAGACATCATAACCATAAAAGTGATAAAAAAAGAACGCAGGTAAAAAGACATACTTAGAAAAATAGCTAATATCCCTAGGACTGGATACACAGTATCCAAAACAAGATAGTGGTGAAAAAGTTTTTGCTTTAACCCCAAGTCCATACCAGTGATAGCCGTGTAATTATCAAAAAGCTCATACGACTCCAAATTGTCCACATAAATACCCATCATTTCTGGCCCTTTCTTAGCTGGTAAAAACAGCAAGCTGTACTTCAGAGATGGGACTTGATAGTCTGTGGTCTGGGGGCTCAGAAAGTCTCTATCAACTAGAAAATGAAGCATTTGATATACTGCACTAGATCGTGTACACTTTTCAGGCACTTTGGCACATTGGGAATGCTTTCTCCCTCTCCGATCTTGATCCTATACACATCGGAGTAAGAGCACCACGGTGGTAGTCTGGAGCACAAGAACGAAGAAGAGCCAGTGTGTGGAAGATGTCACTTTGTGTGATTTCCATGCAAGAAGACCTATTGTACAGAACTGATATGTAGTTCCCAAGAGACCAACTGGGACAACATTCCTTATTGTTATTGCGTTCACATAGCTCTGAGAAAGTAGGGTGAGAGCGAATCTGCAAAAGAAAGCAAGAAGTTAATAACACATCTAAATTAATATACACAACTCTATGCTGGTTCCTGTATTATTTTCTCACATCAATATATACGAATGTAGTATAGGGAGGTCATACAAAGGCTGATCTCACCCTCAGTGCAAGAGCCCAATGTGTTCTGAAAGTGCTATAGATCTAAACCTTGACTTAGTGACATTTAGTTTGCTAAAGCAGCCTTTTTGCCTGGGCACCCTGGGGTGCCTTGAGACTTCTTCAGGGCTGCCTTGGCAAAATGCCCAAAAATTGTATACAAGCCAGAGGTGGATCAAGCCTGCCTTTTAGTTGCACAAAGCCACAGGTTTTCTTTGTGCACCATTAAGACCTTCTAGCCGCTGGCATCCTGACAACCAATGACATCATCAGTTGATAAGGAGGATATTGGTCATCTGTACAGCATCCTTGTTTGACCCTCCCCTTCCTCTCTCTCTTACAGCGCTGGGGTCACATTAGCTGAGTGAAGGAAGAAAAGAGAAACACTGGAATGCTAGTCAGTACCAGTGTGCAGAAGTGTATTTTATTTGGAAGAATAAATTGTCTCTAATTTTGGGTATCCTACATGTGTGGATGTTGATGCATTATGTAAACTATTAGAACACATTTTTTTTTTTTACATTTTAGAATGGGGTGCCTCGAGACTGTCCATAATTTTAGAGGGTGCCTCGAGACTGTCCATAATTTTAGAGGGTGCCTTGAGATTGTCCATAATTTGAAAGGGTGCCTTGACTGAAAAAGGTTGAGAAACTGTGCTAAAGCATTTTGTATCATACACAACTTTCATAAAATACTGTTTTCACCTT